AATTGTGTCAGCCTCGAGAACAACAAGTCTTTCTTTAACATAAATCTTGGGAGTTCAGTGGTTATACTAGCAGGAATATATGTAGCTCCCATTGGGTTTAATTCAATATTTGGTGTTACATACTGTTCAGTCTCAATGGATGTACCTGTGGGACACTGTGAACCAAAGTCTGTCCTCATGGGCCGATGTGAGGAAATATTTGAATCCAAATGCAGATTGTGTTTGACTTAAGTGTACGATTGATTAGATGCTGAATGCCCCGTCACATAATTCCTTGTACGCTCACTCGAATCAACAAAATATATCGGAATTAATCCTTTCCTTTCAAGGCTTATCTATTCGTTCCATTAACTGACTGTTTCCAGAGCCTCCACCTCAGCTTCAGCCTCAGCACACAGCTTTTGCTCGTGAAGGAGCTGTTTGTCTGCCTCTATCTCTTGGTGTTTCCTTACAGCCTTAGCTACAGAAAAAGCTTCTTGTTCCTTCCAAATAGCCTGTTTATTTAATAATAATGATTTTTTCTGTATATAAGCTATCCCTGCGTTAGCAGCTTTAGCTATGGCCTTGGCTTTGGCATTGAGAAGTGAGCTTGAATTTGAACCCTCAGACCGTGATGACCTTGAACTCTGTGACCTTTTTGAAGTTGATTTCACATCAATGTCTATGAAGGACCTTCTTGTCTCAATATCCTCAAGAATCTTATTCACTAATTCATCATTATGTTTGTCATCAACATCATGTCTCTGTAGTAGCCTCTCACCTTCCTTTGACCTTGAACCACTCAGAATATTATGTACTCACGAGAAACTAGACGATAACTGGCGTTCTCGAAGCATATAGAACTGTGTAGCTTTTTTAATAGTTCTGTTTTCTTCTCACACTTGACTCCTTCATCCAATAACTCCTGTACTTTAGTCCATAATGATTTTAACTTGCCTTGAAGTGTTTTAACTCTAGCTGTAAACAGCTCTGCTTCCTTCTCTGTCAAATTGATGAGGCAACGTTCCTCAATTTCAGATTCTACCGTTGGTTGGCTATCCATGTTTCACAGTTCCAAATGATCAAAGCGAGATCTGGACAAGAGCATGTGCGTCCAATTCCTTCACTGTGCCCGCACGATTCGGCCTTGGGCGATTCATATCATAGAAAAACCGGAGACTGCCTCATTTAGAGCGTGGCAATTTATTGTTGAATTTAAGTAAAGGACTGTAACAAATAGAAACGAACTTCTGTTCGTATATTTGTATTTATGCAATGCATAAAGTAATTTATATTATCTGCTTAGTATATGATATTTTTATTTGTTATATTTTGTGGGTTCCGGATGGAGGATAACTTTCCGTTTTTGAAACTAGTCCATCCCTATAGAAGTAGTCACGTGATGTTTTGGTGTACTAAAGTCACGTGTCCTGTGCAGAATATTTTTCCATGCTGACATTTTGAAAAATCTCCTTTTCTCTGGAGTGGGGCACTTGAACAGAAATATGGTAATATTTAAGTTCAAGTTTGTGGCGTTTATTTTGAAGCAAGCCCCATCTTTTTTGGTTCTTTGTACACCTTATTATAAAAATCGACACAAAGATGTATACATATGTTCGATTTCTGGCATTTAGAATAAATGCTCATTTTCGACAATTTATGTGTTTGTTATTTTATCGACAAAAAACAGCAGAGTATAACCTGTGTGTGCTGTTGGGTTTAATGCAGACTAAACACGATAATATTATTGTATTTATGCAATGCATAAAGTAATTTATATTAACTGGTTAGTATATGATATTTGTATTTGTTATATTTTGTGGGTTCCGGATGGAGGATAACTTTCCGTTTTTGAAACTAGTCCATCCCTATAGAAGTAGTAATCTACATTTACACCTTATTACCTAGAAGAGTTCTTATTGACACTACCGATACAAATGCTGATTACATGGACAAAGGGAAATAACTCTGCCACCCTTAAGACCGTTACATTCACAGAACAATGTCGGTACTGACTGTAACGGCACACTTAGTCTATAGGGAAGTGACCTGAACTGTTGTCATGTTATGACCACGTGACTAAGTCATGAGGGTCGAGTCTTGACCCGGAGTGAATTCCTGTAGTAGGAATTGTATGTATGGTAGCCAACCATTGATGCATCTCCATTTTGCTTACATGCTTTGCTCAAGTGACCTATTCCAATCACTTTCCGTCCGTCGTCGTCCGTCGTCCGTCGTCCGTCGTGCGTCGTGCGTAAACTTTTTACATAATCAACTTCTTCTCAAGAACCAGTGGATGGAATCTTTTCAAACTTGGTCAGAATCATCCTTGGTAGATGAGGCTACCAAATTGTAAAATTGGGATTCCTACCTTAACCCTAGGGGCCAGGGCGGGGCCCAAAAGGGAAAATTAGCCAATATTTCAAAAATCTTCTTCAGACCCAGAGGTATTACAATCATTTTCTCTGCATGGATGGAAAGATCATCAGGGGCTTTATTTAAATTGTAAATTTCAGGACCCCCGAGCTATCCGTTCTCCCTTGGGGAGAGGGTAAAGTTTACTATAGTTTATATAGGGAAACAACACTTTTGGGTATATTTTGACAATTTTCTGTTGGAAATTATTCTTACTTGGTGTGAATAATCCTTGAAGGAAGATGGTTTTAAATTGTAAAATTGGAATTCCTACCCGAACCCTAGGGGCCTTAGCGGGGCCCAAAGGAAAATTTAACCAATATTTCAAAAATCTTCTTCTCCAGACTCAGAGTCCTATACTACAGTCATTTTCTCTTAATTTCAGGACCCCCGAGCTATCCGTTCTCCCTTGGGGAGGGGGTAAAGTTTATTATGGTTTATATAGAGAAACAACACTTTTGGGTATATTTTGACAATTTTCTGTTGGAAATTATTTTTACTTGGTCAGAATCATCTTTGCTGGACGACGGTATCATATTGTAAACTTGAGATCCCTTCCCCATTCCCAGGGGTTAGAGCGGGGCCCCAAAGGGAACATTTACAAATATTTTAAAATTCTTATCCTTTGATGACATGACAAGTATTGTATTTCACTTAGTTTACATGCTGATTTCCACATCACATCTAAACAATAAAATAAAGCTACCAGTACCTATGATATAACTCAGGTGACCGCTAAGGCCCTTGGGCCTCTTGTTATCTTTTGTTCTCTCCGCATCAGAGGGAGTGGGACCACCAATTTTCGTTTATACAGCATGAAATAGTTTGACAGAGTGATGCTCCAGACAAACTAACGTTCAAATCCATTCACCCGAAATGAGTTTTGGACCCATAGAGCCAATAAAACAACGCTAAGGATACGTAAATCGGGATCAACACACGAATACAGAGACAAACAATTAACGCTATGCAATCCCGACGACCTCAAATTTTACACCTTTACACATACATTTACTTTGTACGGAAGGATCGTACATCCTACTCAAAATAACGACATAGATATATAACTAGACATAAACATCCGTCCCAGTATTTATGATTTAGCAATACCACCAGACCAGAATCTTTAACGTAAAACAAGTGAACCGGGTTAAAACGTCGACTCTTGGACAGTGTGTACACCATCAAAATGCACACTTATTTTCACATCGTGTTGCAACGTCTCTAGGTTGTATCACGTTCCTTATCTCAAAGTTCAACTGCATACCACGTTGTTTATGTGTAAATATTCCCACCACATATTCACCTGTATTGTTACGGTCATTACGGAAAATCTATTTACATCGATGATACATCCAAAACGTACATCGGGGTCAATTGTTACAAAGTATCTGTTAAAAAAATCTCAACGTTTAACATCCGAAATAAAATAAAAGTTTACGAATATTTACATTCATTTTCGAGAGATCGTATGCATCCGACCAAAAGTTATACCATAAATACATATCCAGTAGATAAAATAACATTTAGAAGCGCGTGCGATGAACATATGTAGTCCTATATCTCGCAAATCAACTGCATACCAGTGGTGCGTGCGTAATTCTGACCATTAAGCCTGCGGGAGGGAGGGTGTGCAGCGTCAATCACTCTGACATTACCATGTTTCAGTACACAAAGTTTGTAAACATACGCATGTTGTAAATTTTATTAATGCACTTGTTCAAACAATTTGACTTTTTGAATAAACGACATTATAATAATAACAATAATTTACAAGTAGAATATACACATATATTGAGACATATATGATGATAATTTGATATTTAATATACTAAATTATAGTTTATATACCACGATGTAGCCAGCTCCTCTTTTGTTTTAGCCGTTATAATAATATAAGTTGTTTTGTATAGTTTATATCCAACTCATGACGTTTCCCTATTCAGTCATATATTTGTTAATGAATGTATGGTAATTAGTAGATGAGAAATTGACCAATCACAGAGCAGTATATTGTCCCCTATATAGGTCTCTTAAATTGTAGCAGCCCCCTTCATCCGGGGAGGCTGCAGTGAACTACGGTGGTTTATGTGTATTATTCTACGGCTTCCTTCACGTTTAACAACTACGGTGCCTTACATTGGAGAAGTGTTGTACTAAAATCTTTTGAACAGTTTCCTTAATTCTTGGGTCAGTTCAGTATCAATATGGACCAACGAATTCAGTTTAATTCGGTGTGCTAGCGGTCGGATATTCACCGTGCCATTTTGGACTAGGATCAGTAGCCTACGGGATTACAAGTGTACAGTTTCGTTGGCGATGGGTTTTTCATAAGTGCTACGGAATATAACTGTTTACGTCGGTAAGATACTGTACTTTTAGTTGACTTAGACAACGCAGGTATACAGTAGTCTTTCTTGCCTTATTCTTGATTCTTGGAGTGAAGTTCGCTAAATTCTCCGAAATTCTCCTCCATCATGGGTCCTAAGAGCACATCTAACCGATCCACTGCGCACGACCGGGAACTTCTGGAGAACTGAACGCTGACTCGTTTACAGCAGGAAATGTCACGCAGAAACATCGTCTTTCGGAAGGGTTCAAAACGAATGGCGCTTGTTAAACTATTGAGAGATGCTCAAGCTAGGCCCAACGTCAGAGGTGCGCAATTCAACAATGCAACGGTCGGGGGTGAACGGCAAATCGCTACAAGTGTGGGAATTTCAAATACAGTTCCTACGACTCCTGAGTTTAACCTTAATTCAGCCTACCAGAATTTCAGGACAGAATCGACATCACAAGACCACAACAACGCTAGGAGGACAAATTATGGTTATGCTGCTGAGTCCCTGCCGTTAGTGGAGACATTTTCATCTGCCCTAAGACAAAGCATTATAACAGGTAGGGATGTTAATCTTGCTCCGCTGCTCATCCCCTACTTTTGTGGTCAGAGCGACCAAAGCTGTGTAACAGACAAGGCAAACCCCACGCTAAATAGAATCTTAACTTTAAGTGAATTCATTCTGGCATTCGGTGTCTACAATCATGTCATGTGCGAGGCGCATCCGTCCCGGAGTGTGGAGTTAGAATTGTACGAAAGAGACATTGGTGAAATGGGCACGCGTTACGCGTAAGGTTTTTATGAGTACCACCGTCAATTCTCCCTGAGGGCAGCCGCACAGTTGGGGTACAACAACAAACCAATCGATTGGTCTGTGCGAGATAACACGCTGTTCTGCAACATTTTTTCTAATATCCGTCCGATATCATGTAGTGTCTGTGACAGTACCCTCCATACCACGGGATTCTGTCCAGCCTCGGGGCAGGAAGGAAAACAAGAAACATCTAGATCGTGTAACTCCGACAACGTCGACTCTCTGGGTCGCCATCAGGTCTTCAATGAAGGACGGAAAATTTGTAAAAATTACAACTTTGGTAGTTTCGGGTGTATTAGAAACCCTTAATATTTCATGCATTTGTGTCTGTCCTGTAAGGGGAACCATCCTCAATCAAAGTACCATTTATAAGTGATTCAGCCCTCCACCAAGAGGAAATGATACATGTGACAGCCAGCACTGCTATCAATGTGCAACATTTAAAATCAGAATTACAATTTCATCCGGATAGAGAGTTTGCAGAATAATTATTAAATGGACTTGCTTATGGATTTGATACAGGCATGTTAAATAATAATGCTTGTAGATGTATTAAGCCGGGAAGATCGTTCGTGTCTCATCTCATATCTCTAGCTTCGGCTGTGCGTGAATTACACTACCATGTTAAATTAACGGAAGAATGTGCAACATTTAAAATCAGAATTACAATTTCATCCGGATAGAGAGTTTGCAGAATAATCATTTAATGGACTTGCTTATGGATTTGATACAGGCATGTTAAATAATTATGCTTGTAGATGTATTAATCCGGGAAGATCGTTCGTATCTCATCTCATATATCTAGCTTCGGCTGTGCGTGAATTACACTACCATGTTAAATTAACGGAAGAATGTCGTTCAGACCTCGCTATGTTGTCTCTTTTCCTAAGGTATTGGATTGTTTTATCTTTTTTCCTAGATTATCAGATTACCACATTAGCAGACCTTCACTTGTTCACTGATACTACTCCAAAAGCATTTGGAGGTTTCTACATGAACCAGTGGTTTCAGGGGACATTCCCACCAGAGCTCAGTGACGTAGACACATCTAGATCTATGGCCCTTTTTGAACTCTACCCAATTGTGATGGCTTGCGTGTTGTGGGGGCATCAGTGGCACAAGAACAGAATACTGTTTCATTGTGATAACTTAGCCGTTGTTGAAATATTTTCCAAAGGGAGATCAAAGATGGGGCGTTTACGGATGTTGGCTCCACACGCAGAGGTCCTTCCGGTGCCGTGTCTGCCTATGTCTTCCCTACTCATGCGTTGAATCACGAAGTGGACTGTTTATGAAATGCAGCCCTTAGTGCTAGAACTTTAGTCACCTATAAGTCGGCTTTGAACTGTTTCCTGTTTCTAGGGGAATTCACTCCCAATCTCAATATAGTTTTATATTAGTGTGGGGATGCGGCTTCTCTTGTATTACAGGAGTATAGCTGCTCTCATCATGGCTTCTCTAGGGGTGTTCACAACCAGAGCCTAGTCACTTCTCTGGAGACATTTGCAGAGTCTAGCTGCTCACTTCTCTGGGCTGTGTAGGTGCTTCTCTGAAGACATTTTCAGAGTCTAGCTGCTTCACAGGAGTCTAGCTGCTCTCATCATGGCTTTCTAGGGGTGTTCACAACCAGAGTCTAGTCGCTTCTCTGGAGACATTTTCAGAGTCTAGCTACTCACTTCTCTGGGCTGTGTAGGTGCTTCTCTGAAGACATTTTCAGAGTCTAGCTGCTTCTCTCAATACCCCCGGAATCTAGCTTATTCAAATAATAGTAGCATATTTATATGGTAGTAAATTGTTGGAGTGAGTAGCCCCTGATGCGCCAAATGTATTACTGTATGTAAATATGTTGCTTACAAGAGTAATAAACAGGTTAACTGTTTCCTGTGTGTTAGTTGTATATAAAATGATAATTTGATATTTAATGTATTGAATTATAGTTTATATTCAACGATGTAGACAGCTCCTCTTTTGTTTTAGCCGTTATAATAATATAAGTTGTTTTGTATAGTTTATATCCAACTCATGATGTTTCCCTATTCAGTCATGATCATGGCATTGGCTGTTTGGTTTTATATGTTAATGAAGGTATGGTAATTAGTAGATGAGAAATTGACCAATCACAAAGCAGTATATTGTCCCCTATATTGGTCTCTTCAATTGGTAGCAGCCCCCTTCATCCGGGGAGGCTGCAGTGAACCACGGTTGTTTATGTGTACCCACCCACCATCCCCAGATACATGCACAGTTTCATATATGCATATACGTTCTTCCAATTGTAATGTAGTACTTATCTTTTGTTGTTTCCCTGTATTTAGCACCTAGAGTCATGGCTTCTCTAGGGTGTTCACAACCAGAGCCTAGCCGCTTCTCTGGAGACATTTTCAGAGTCTATATGCTCACTTCTCTGGGCTGTGTAGGTGCTTCTCTGAAGATATTTGCAGAGTCTAGCTGCCTCTCTGGGTTGCGGCTTCTCTTGTATCACAGGAGTCTAGCGGCTCTCATCATGGCTTCTCTAGGGGTGTTTACAACTAGAGTCTAGTCGCTTCTCTAGAGACATTTTCAGAGTCTAGCTGCTTCTCTTAATACCCGCGGAGTCTAGATTATTCAAAAAATAGTAACATAAGTATATGGTATACAAATTGTTGCCCCTGATGCGCAAAATGTATTACTGTATATAAATATGTTGCTAACAAGAGTAATAAACAGGTTAACTGTTTCCTGTGTGTTAGTATACAGTTAAAGTATGGGATTGAGGGATATAGCAAGTTTCTGGTGACCCGAGACCAGGTCTATTCCCGAGGCGAAGCAGAGGGAAATAGGCATGATCAAGGGACACCAGAAACTTGCTATATCCCTCAACCCCATACTTTAACCGTTTTATTATACCGATACACACTGCAGAGAAAGTTTTAACTAGAAAATATTTGTAAACCATAAGCTGTATAGCTTCACGTCCCAACTGCTCCTTTGATGGCAATGGAGCCAAATGCTTCCGAGTTCGGTAGCAAGCTCCGCCCACCTCGCGCGTCGCTTCCGAGTTCGGTACCAATATCCGCCCACCTCGCGCGTCGCTTTCGAGTTCGGTAACAAGCTCCGCCCACCTCTCGCCTGATTGGCTCGGAATGAAGAAAGGGAACAGGTTTGGAATAAAAACAAAGACATATGTATCTATTATCATTTAATTTAATTGGTCTGTTTGTAATCAAGAATATTTCATTAAAACAATCGAATCCGTGTCTATCATATAAAAACGCGTTAGCCTGGCCAGCAAAATCGGCTGTCATATCTGATTGGACTACGAGTATGACTCACGCCTTCAAGTGACCGGCACCGAAACCCCACGATATCACGATGATCGGAACCAGGCGGAACAAAACTCTCGCGCACCAATGATCCGGTCGTTCATGATGATTCCCTACTCACGCAAATGGCATAGCCTTTCTCTGACGTCATCATTCCGTGCAGATTTGTAATTTCGAGAGAATGATTTACCCTCAACTCACGTATTAACTGTGTGTCAGATCATGAAACATAGGACTACGTTGCTCTCCTACGACTCATGTCCCCACGTGGTCTTCACAGAAACTCCTCTGAATCTAGACAGGGCCACTCCCACGCAAGGACTTCGTGCCGCGATTGGACAATGCCCGGGACTTGGCGGAGCCACACGTGTCCGACGTCGTGTACATATTAAGGCCATGCCTTCTGACGTCATGATCCCCTAACAGAGATAACTTATGATTAATAATAAAAAAAAATCGAATGAGACACATTTAATATGAAAAGGCAAAGCCTTAAAAGAACGTAGCTTTTGTAAATCTCTGATGTTAACTGATTCAGAATAATTTCCCTGTTAAGTAATTTTACATTAGAGTTTTCCTCGCTATTTTTCTGGTTCAATGCTCAGCCAACTAAACTGCTAAGATCCTTACAGATGTAAATATTAGCTAAAAAATCAAAATGTCAAGGGTGGCCGAACTTGCACCGGTTTACCGTATGTAGATTTTTGTATTATTGATTATTGGTAAAAATGTATTCACAATATATTTTTAACATCAATGCCGCCATTTTCTTCCAATCAAAGCTAAAATAGATATTTGTTCTTGTGCGTAACGTAAATGATATGGCCTGGTTCAATCCCGATCACCTGCCCGACCACGCGGGTTTTCTTCGGATACTCACATTAAGAATTAAATCATCTGCGTGCTTCCGTCAGGGCACAAAAAGAATGATTGAGATTAGTCTTGGAAAAAACTATTTGGTAATTGCTATAGAAAAAGTGCATATTACATATTTGACAATTAGTCTAAGTAAATGTAAAGAGATGTTAATTAAAAAAGAAAACAAAATAAAATAAAACATTGTAATACAGTGTACTTTGATGTAACTGAGATCGTCGTTAAATCGATATGTAGTCTTAATCACTGTTCCATCCTGAAACACCGTATTGAATATCAAATTTTGTAACTGTCACCGAGGTTTGACAGGTAATGATGCAAAATAGAATTTAACAGTTTCTGTTTGTAACTAGTTATAAATCGGCACGCGTTGTTAAAAAGTAATACGTTGCTGAAAATAAGGGCGTTGAACTCGGGTTGGTTGTCTGGAAAACTATTGTTAATTTCGTCATAAATGCATTAACCATTGTTTCTTTTCCGAGTGGTGATGCATAAATAAATTATGTAAAATCTATAACCAGACTTTCAAATATGTTAATTGTCATATTCTCAACAAATGGAAATCAAAAGCTGATGAAACTTTTAGATGACGAAAACAGAAATGTACACATTGGCCATTTGGTTTAATGCCGGCTCTTTTTGAAGATATCTCCCGGTAGAAATATTAACAGAACCTGTTATTGATAAAAATATTCTCCAGAAAATATCCCCATTTTTACTTTTTATGCTAGTGACAAAAACTGAAATGAAAAAAATCCTGAAGCGCCGATAAAGAGATAAATGCAACGGACATCAGTTCAAGAGTTTTCCAGTTATTTTTCATCCTTCCGGAAATAACCGATGAAGACCGATGGATTGTGACGTGCTTGTGACAACATAGTATGATAATTTCCGAACGAAGTTTCTTGCCTGTTAGTATCAGTTTTATGTGATAGACTTTTTGATTCAGAATGTATATTAGTTTTTATCTCAATAAACAAGTAATAAAACATGAAGATTGTTTTCACTATATGAAGATGTTCATGTACATTGTATGGGTTGAAACATAGTTGTCTTTGCTTCAAGGATACACTTCCTGTTTCCCCACTGGACTACGTGGCTCCCCCATAACTCACATCTCCGGAAGTAGGCGAGTCCAATTCATCTGTGACGTCACGATCCTACGATCCACGTTTTTTTGGCGCCGTATAAACAATCGCTATATACTATTAGTGTACCAAGTGTTAAAAATAAACATTGAGAAACTCTAATGTATATCCGTGACATTTGAGACAAATACTGTTCAATGTAAGCATTCTGATCCCGGTTGTACAACGCTTATTATTTTTGTTCTTCAGTGATTACAGCAAATTTAAGATACAAAACAAACAAGACCATTTATTCATGTTCCTGTTATAGATTTGTTTTATGCTATAAGATTAATTTTTGTTTGGAATAACATATTCTTGGAAAGCCCAGCTTTTTGATGATAAAACTTTGAATGTTTCCCTAACCGCTGGTTAAAGTTAACTAACCTGGAACAGCAGGGGTCAGATAGCTATCAATGACGTTACAGACAAACGGGTGTTTATCAATATTCGATGTCTGTCAGTAATATTATAGACATTGATCTCTTTAATTAACATTCTGATATCTATCACTGACAACACAGACATTTGATGTCCATCATCATAAACTCTCTTATGTTCGTCAGTGACATTATAGATAACAATCTCTATCAATAATGTTATGTTTTTTTTTGTATTTTGATAACTTTATAGACATTTGAAATCAACTCTCTGATGTCTATTAATGATATAAACATTTGATTTGAATCAATTACATTCCGATACATTTTCGTGACATTGAAAGCATTCATCATTAAAACTGATTTTAAAAAGATGATGTCTATAATTTACACTCTGTTGAATGGCAGTTGTTCAACATTAACACTACTTACACTCTTGATTGTCGCTAACATAAAAACACAGTATGTAAAACAATATTAAAAGACAAAAACAAATGCATTAAATATATACTAAAGTTCCATAAAAAAGCCCTGTTTTATATTTTACCGTTGTTTATTTATGATACATGTCATGATCCTTGATGATGAAATCGCGTCATCTAATCATGGAAGTGTAGTTATTGTTCCCTCTTTAAATAATAGAGTCTTTGTGGTTGAAGTGTGACGTGCATATTTAACATCTGGGGTCCTTCGGTTCGCCTCCGGTGGATTTTTAATGTTCAGAAGGTTTACCTTTAATTGTATAATATTTCATTTCTGCAAATTATACTTTTATTTTTTTTCTATTGTATTGTAAGTAATATTCTATTTATGTAGTAGGCATAGTTTGATACTCGAAAGTTTCTGATTAAATTTGTGAACATGTTATGTAAATATGTTTAATCATATCGGGGTTATAATTGTTTCAAATAATTTTCTATTTTAATTTAAGCTTTAAATAACTGTGGAGATGTCCCCACATGCAATGGTTCAGGAGTGTACACCCTTACACCTACCGGCAGTAACGTTGATGTATTTTGTGATTTGGACACAGCCGGAGGACCGTGGACGGTGAGTTGTTCGGAGTACCTCAACGTAGATATCACATCATTCGGAATTACATACTAATGACCTTGTTTCAAACTTGTATAACAGATGTGTATTTTACTTTTTCATTTTAATCAATTAATTTATTTTATCTTAATTTTTATATATTACTAGTTTTATTCAAATACTTCCTATTAATGGTACCGTTACATTGATTTTACTTTGAAATGATCTTTGTGAAAGAAGAAAAGCTAGCAACAATTAAAATTGAAATTGTATATGTATTTTCTATAACGATATTTACATTCATCCACCAGATTATCGCCAGCAGATATGACGGATCAGTTGACTTTTACAAGTCTTGGAATGAGTACAAGAATGGTTTTGGAAGTTTGACTGGAGAGTTCTGGCTAGGTATGAGTTCATGATAGTAACCTGGTAGTCCATAGCAGTATGCTTATCCTTAATATAAATAAAAAAAAGTCTGAAAAATAGTTGAAATTTACAAAAGTTTCCTTTTTGTATACACATATTGTTTTTCATGTTTCTGATCTTCATATCATTTTGTATCCACGATCAAAATAAAACAACAGAAACGCCAGATGACTTTAAGGTAGTTAGCTAATTATAAATTAGTTTCAATCTTCTACCATTATCACATATTTGTGTGTTCATTACCTTAGTTTTCAAGAATGTAAGACTACTGTTAGTCCAGAATATGAAGCTTCGGATTGAAATGGAAGCATGGAGTGGCACTCTTAAACATGTAGAATACGATACTTTCGATATTTCTGACGAGGCTTCTGAATACATTTTGAATATTGGCGGATACAGCTCGCCAGACGGACTATGTAAGTTGACATTCCAAAATGGATACCTTGTGTTTTGGCATACAAATTTGCAATGTACTTAATCATTTTCTCATTTTTGAATTACGGACATTTTTATTAGTTTCTAGACAACAATCTGTACGTAAAGCTTAAGAAAATAAAAGCTGTCTTATCAATTTCAACGAACAAAATTCATCTAAACATATGGAGTTGATAACAATGCTATGCTTATTGAAGCTAAGCTTAATGCAAGAATTGTGTTTAATTTCACAATAAAAAAAATCTTTGCGTGTAACATTATAGATGACGCCCTCAATCACCACAATGGTCGGCTTTTCTCCACCTATGACAACGGCAATTATATCAGCGGCTACAGTTGTACTAGTAGAGCACACGGAGCGTGGTGGTATAAAAGTTGCTATCAATCCAACCTGTTCGGGAAATGGATGACAAACGAAGTCTTTCAAGCCATGAATTGGTTTAATTTCTACGCCAATAACGAATCACACACAGCGGTTAAAACAGTCAGGATGATGCTTAAGAAAAAGTAAAACAACAGTTACAACACTATTCGAGTGATGCACTGCTATACTGAATCTGTATGTATTTTTCGTAATTTTAAAATATATCATTTATTATTTGTCTGTTCCACTTCCAAAAAAATGTAGCTTTGTTTTATGTTTGAAAAACATTACACCGCACAATAATGTGTTCTCCGTTCGATCAGATCAAGGTTACATATGTATTGTGAAACTGTCAACTAAAGGACGTGGAATTTCTTGAATATGGATTTTGAAAAAATCAAAACGTTTTTCTGATAACTTTTATAGTTTCTCTCATCAAAACTTCTTTCAGTAAATGTTACTTTTCTCTGCTTTACCATGTCTCATACCAAACTGAAGGAAAGCTTTAGCTCTATTAGTAGGACTTTTATTTTCATGATGGCCGAACAGTAATTTGAATGTATCATGTATGATAATACACTATTTTTAGCATGCATACTTAGGACGATTGAGTTGGAGATATCTATGTTGACTTTGATAACGCCCCGGTCACACATTTACGGATCGTTTCGCCGGATCCACTATAGATGGACACCTGGAATAGTCTATATCCGTGGTCCGCTATGGATGCAACACGGTTTGACTACGGATATGGACAAGTTGACAACGGGAATTGATACGGATTGCTACGGTTCGACACGATTTTAGTACGAGCATTAGCACGAATTAGAACGGTCTGGCACGGAGTGGTACGAACTCACACGGGGCGCCACGGTATACAATCCGTATACAAACTATTGCGCTCGCGTGTTCATTCCACAACTTCATTTTAATTTTAGTACAGGTTAGTACAAGTACGTTAGTCACCATAACTAACCGTACTGATCTTTGGCGACTTGAGGTCGGGGATTTAAACGAATAAGTACGGATAATTACGGTTTATTACGGTACGTTCTATTATCGATCAGTAAGGATATACTGTGGTTGTCTGATCCAGGCTAAGAAAGTGTCACTGATAAACAAGTACTACTACGATTGACTTAGGATACAATTCGGACAGCTACGAACCACTACAGATTGTGGCTAATCTGACGTTTGATCTGTGAATGTGTGACTGGGGCATAATTAAAAGGCAGGATTTTAAAGCAAAATGTACATATTCATTTTGGTCCCCGTTCTGGCAGATACGTGTGTGCTTACTATGATGCCGAGTTCATTGAAGAATTTAACAAAACAAAAACCTTTTCACGTTCTTCAATTTTACGTTTAGATACCCGGCGGGTTTCCGGTCATATCGATAGCACATCTTAACCTGACCTTAAAATCAACGACACAACATAGTATGTTATGTCAGCTTTTTGATCGACTTTATTAACATCATGCCAACGGGGACAGCTTACCACATAGCAGTATGATAAGTTAAGCGATTTCGATTTATCGATTATGAACATGCCCTATCTTGAAAGTAACATTCTCACATCAAAAGCCGTCGATGTTTACATGTTGCAGTTGTCAAATCATGTGTCCATATATTTTCTCCAAATATCATGAATTCAAACCAGAATGTCGATTACTGGCGGACAGACATACAAAGCAGGGTACCGAGAAATACAGATCGGTGAGGACTTTTGCCAAGTTTTTTGGTCGCCATTGATATCGTCGGGGAATTAGTTATTTCATTCATTTGCCCAATTCGTATTTAATGAACTCTTACCCATCCCATAATACCTGGCCTAAGGATCATGAAACAATAATACATTTAACCATACTCTTCATGTTTAAGTTAACAATATTAAAAGCATAATTAATATTGCAAATAATTACATTCTTATGCAGCTTTATTTGGTCACATGTCAGATGTAAGTCACAGCCTTATTCCAAAGCAGATTAATAGTCTGGAATCTAGTCTAGAAGGATCCCCGAGCAAAACACTAAAGAATTCCACTGTCGCTTTTCAGTGTTAGAGTCACCTGTCCCTGATTACCATTTCGACAATGTTGTTATCTTCCCTTGAATAGATTTCGTTTGAAGAACGTTTCGACTCCAGAGTTGTGTCCCTTGCGTTGAAAATCTCCAATCGCGAAAGTGTGGGAAAAAAAGCTGTTGTAACGATGTAAACAACGTGGTCGTGGCAGTCATGGCCGACACGCAAGCTCGACGTAAAAACTGCCGTTTTGAATGTAAACTAAACGCATTAACTGACAATAATAACAACAACGATGTCCAATATCAACTGCTAGACCACGACTATGCGACGAAACAAAGTGACACTCGTTCACACATTGAAGAGACACTGACTACTGAGGCCCCTACTACTGACAATTTGACTGATGAGCCGACACCGACGTCCGATGAGGATCCTTCCAGTACTAGTTATCACGAATGCGCCAATAACTTGTTAACCTGGTCGCAGGGTAGACGTGTGGTTGAACTCACGGTGTTATCTGAATACCTGGACCAGAAAGGTTGTAAGCAATGCGATACTCGGCAACTGTGGTGCAATACCCAAGAGGAAAGGCATATTGGCCTGGTAAGTATTTTAGAAATACAAGCAAGTGTATCACACGACATCACAATAGTCAGGATTATATTTTATAGTTGTTAATATATGCCCAATAGTCCTATATTTCAAGTTCATTTTTAATATTACATACAACAGTGTTATTTTTACAATGTGATATTTGTATACCACAATATTGTATGTTCCTATTTGCACATAATGTAAAAGTTTATTATTGTTGTATAGTGTGATATTTGTTTTACCCCAATATATATAGTATGTTGTTATCTGTATATAATGACAAAGTTTATTATTGCTTTATAGTGTGATATTTTTTATATCATAATATGGTATGTTGTTATCTGTACATAATGTGAAAGTTTATTATTGTTTTGTTCAGAATGTAAAAGTTCATTTTTGTTGTAAAGTGTGATTTTTCATATCACAACATAGTATGTTATTTGTACAGTATGTAGAAATGTATTATTGTTGTGTGAAGTATGTGGAACTTTGTAATTGTTGTTCATTGTGACATTTTTGCTATGACACAGTAAAGTACATTGTTCGTTATAATGTTATTCATACATAATGTGCAATTTGTTTTATATTAGTTATTACATTTGAAGTAATTGTATTGGTTGGTAATGCCTACTGTATTATATTTGTATACAAAGGTGCTATATTGTATGTTGTAAATTGTATATATGACTTTTTGGGATTTAGAATTATTATTGTTACAAATGTAAGTAAGAGTTGTCTCTCTTTTTTTCCCTTTTTTATCTATATATATTATTTTTTTGTAGAATAAGTAAGTTCGCAAGATATTTATTTTTTGTTAACTACATTTTCTTTTCTTTGTCCTTTACGTGTTGCATTGGCATTCAGAATTTTTATTGATTGATGTAATGCGCATTTTTGTTTGTTTTAGTATTATTGTTAGGAAATTACTGTGTTTTGTTCATCAATATTGACATTGTTGTTATCTTTTATGTGTTATGTTTCTAATAGACCATTGTTGCATCAAAAAATATACATTTTGTTACATTTTGTTTCATTTTGTTCAATTGAAAAAAAAAATATGGGTTATTGTTCAGAAATGATTTGCTCATGCAAAAGCGATGCCGTAGAGAGAAAAAAAATGCCTCATTACATTTTAAGGTGGAGGGACGAGGATCCTTAAGTATTACCCATATTGTGCGTGACGTCACCATTGTTTGCGTAGTCGAATAAAATGGGGCCGACATGAACGTTGGTGTTTGTCAGTTGTCTCCCCTATTTTCTACAAGACACAGCAGAAAGTTATTAACTTTTGATGTCAAAGTAATACGTGTATAACAAATATAAGTTTTATTTTGAAACTGAGAACAAATAGCGGCACGGTACCTTTCAAATAATATGCTCATTTTAATAAGATCGTGTATTATAAATATTATGAATGTATGCCGAATACTTTAATTTGATCGGAAAGTGAGTATGAAAAATGTGTTCTCCTGTTTTCAAAAGTGGAAATTGTTTGATATATAAAGTTCTAAAGTCTGAGTCTGATGAAGCAGATTTTATTAATTTTTAACCAAAATCCCTATTTTTGACCCACCCCTCCAACTCCTGGGGATGGGGCAGGATCTTATTTTCTCATACCATCTAATTGCCATCTGGCATCATAATCATTCCAATCAAGTTTGAATAAGTCCCTGCTGAACATGGACAAAATATACCCAAAAGCATTGTTTCCCTATATAAACTAAAGTCAACTTTACCCTCTCCCCAAAGGAGAATGTATGGCCCGGGGGTAATAAAATTGAAAAATAGATAAAGCCCTTGACAGACTTTGTATCAATGCACAGAATTCAATTGTACTATATCTGAGTTTGAATAAGAAGATTTTTGAAATATTGGTTAATTTTCCCTTTGGTCCCCCGCCCTCGGGGTTGGGGTAGAAATCCCCATTTTACAATTTGATACCATCTCCCTCCAAGGATGATTCTCACCAATTAAGAATAATTTTCTATTGAAAATGAACAAAATATACCCCCAAAAATTATAGTAAACTGTACCCCCTCCCCAAATAAGAAAGGATGGCCCTAGGGTACTGAAATATATAATTTAAACAAAGCCCCTGATGATCTTTTCATAAATGCAGAGACACTGATTGTAGTGCCTTTAAGTCTGGAAAAGAAGATCTTGGTGAAATATTTTTGAACTTTCCCTTTGGGGCCCCGCCCTGGCCCCTAGGGTTGCGGCAGGAATCCCAATTTAACAATTTGATACCATCTTCCTCCAAGGATGATTCTCACCAAGTAAGAATAATTTCCTGCTGAAAATGAACAAAATATACCCAAAAGTGTTATTTCCTTATATAAACTGTGGTAGAAAATTTACCCTTTCCCAAAGGGGAACGGATGGTCCGGGAGTCCTGAAAATTACAATTTTAATAAAGCCCCTGATGATCTTTCCATCCATGCAGAAAAATTGACTGGAGTGCCTCTGAGTCTGGAGAAGAAGATTTTGGTGAAATATTTTTGAACTTTCCCTGATGGGCCCCGCCCTGGCCCCTGGGATTGGGGCAGGAATACCAATTTTACAATTCGATACCATCTTCATCTAAGAATGATGTTCACCAAGTAAGAATAATTTCCTACTGAAAATGAACAAAATATACCCAAAAGTGTTATTTCTCTATATAAACCATAATAAACTTTACCCTCTCCCCAAGGGAGAACGAATGGTCCGGGGGTACTGAAAATAACAATTTTAATTAAGCTCCTGAGGATGTTTCCTTCCATAAGAGAAATTGACTGCTGTACCGGTGAGTCTGGAGAAGAAGATTTTTGAAATATTGGTTAATTTTCCCTTTGGGGCCTCGCCCCTCGCCCTGGCCCCTGGGGTAGGGGTAGGTATCCCAATTTTACAATTGTGTAGCCTCATTTACCAAGGATGATTCTGATTAAGTTTGAAAAAAATCCATCCACTGGTTCTTGAGAAGAAGTCGAAAAATGTATAATGTTTACGCACGACGGACGACGAGGACGGAAAGCGATCAAAAAAGGTCACTTGAGCAAAGCTCAGGTGACCTAAAAACCCCAAATTTCTAAAGGAAATTGGCAAATAAAATCTCACCTATCCTTACATTATTATTTAATCGTTCAATAGAAACTGGTGCTATACTATCTGACTGGAAGGTGTCCAGTGTATCACCAAGTTATAAAAAGGCACTAAGTACGATCCAGAAATTTAAAGGCTCATCTCTCTTACTTGTATATGTAGTAAACTCTTAAGGCAGATAGTAGTAAGCAGCATCATGTCACATGCTGGTCGTAATAAAATTTTATATCCCTTCCAACACGGCTTTAGAAAGTCACGATCATTCGAAACACAGCTTTCAAATTTTTTTGAAGATGTCACAAAATATATTGAAAACCACAAACAGACGGATGTTCTTATTTTAGATTTTTCAAAGGCCTTCGATAAAGTCAGCCATAACATATTAATACATAAACTTCATCACTTTGGAATCAGGGGGAAATAAACACATGGATCAAAAACTTCTTGACCAATAGGACACAAGCAGTCCTACTCGAAGGCGAACTATCTCCATATGTACCAGTCGAGTCGGGGGTCCCCCAGGGGTCAGTCTTCGGCCCGAGATTATTTTTGTACTATATAAATGACATGCCCCTGAGTCTCTACTCCTCGGTCAGATTGTTTGCTAACGATACAATTTGATACAAAACTGTTACCTCCAGTGATGATGCCGCAATACTGCAGAGGGATTTAGATAAGCTCACAGTTTGGGCAAAAAAGTGGAAAATGGAATTCCACCCCCAAAAATGTAACATTTTATCCATTTCGAAAAATAAAAATTTAGTAAATTATAACTATTTCCTTCATGGTCATTGTCTAGAGCTTACTGATAAAGCGAAATATTTGGGTGTATCATTGATTCTCACATTACTGAAATAACTAGCAAAGCTAACAAGACTATGGCTTCATTTGGCGTAATCTAAAAATTAATTCTAAAACAATAAAAGAACAAGCATACAAATCTCTAGTGCGTCCGACTTTGGAATATGCTTGCACCGTGTGGGATTCATACCAAAAAGGTGACATAAATGAATTGGACATGGTTCAGCGTAGGGATGCGCGGCTTGTCACTAACAGATACCATAACACATCCAGTGTTAGTGACATGCTCGACGACCTTAACTGGCCCAGCCTCGCTGATAGGGGTAAGGATGCCCGCCTAACCATGATATTTAAAATCATTTATAATACTGTAAAAATTACAAAAGAAAAATACCTAACAGAACAATTGCGACAGACACGACGCTCTCACTCTTTCTCCTATCTCACTCCACATTGTAGAACAGACTGCCGAAATACTCTTTTTTCCCTGACTGGAACAACCACCCACCACCCACCATTTTGTATCGGCTTCGCCGATTATTCAATTTGCTCGAGTTCAATTGTAGTTATCACCCGCTAACCTAAACTAAATAGAACGTGTATCCCTAAATATATCAAACATTCTTAACAGACGCTAATCCATAATAAACCAAACCAAACCTAGAGTTGTCTATGGTACATTTCTGGCGACGGTGTTGGTGCCCTATAATTGTTTATGATAAATGTATTAGGTACAAAGGTTTTAGCAATGTGAATGCATTGGCGAATGACAATGTTGACGGTAAGTTGACTATGATGGGAAAAAATGAAAACGGATGTTTTCTTCTGAGAAGGTTATGTAAACAGTGTGGGATGATAATGCTAGTTTAAAGCAAAGAACGTCAATGTAAATTAATGGTTTAGGATGACAGTGTATGATGACAGTGTAACGAGATTGTGTACGTTGATAATTTGACATTGTAAGGTGAAAGTGATGGTTTAAGTTGAGAATGTATCATAGTGTGCGGGTGTATAATGACTGTATATGTTGACGGTTTAGTATGGTTAATAGAGGTTAACATACTATTGTAACGGCTAAGGTAATTTAAATATGTGCTTCCATGTGTCTGTGATGGAGCGGTATGTTGGGGTATTTGCCTTCTTACAATAGTGCAGATCTGATGCCGACTTAAGAGTGGAACCGTACAGCAATACCATGTCGAAGGCACCCAGCAAAGTATTCACTGAATCACCAGCTCACATTATACATGCACTTACAACGGGTAAGCTAGTTGTTGCGATTACCCTCATTGCTGAAGTTTAAGCATGGAATAACAACTACAATTTTTTAGGGACTTTGGTATTTCCACTGGCTTGGGACAGAACCTATTGTCCTCCTCACTTGATCGAACGTTCTTCACTAAGGTCAAAGGTCAGAAGTGGGGTATTTTTAAGCAAGACGCTAGAAGAGAAAATAAAAAATCATAAAAAAACATAAATGTTGCATTATTGACGTTCAAGGATGAGGGAAAGGTGAAATACCTTTTCTTCAAAATATTAAGTATCTTTTCTTAATAATGTATTTTATCAAATACTCAAAAGGTCATTGTTACAGGATGAGGTTCTGCTGTAGTTTAAAGTCAGTCCAGACCACATGTAGAAAAGATCATTGTCCTCGTTTCATAAGATTATGGTGCATGTTTTTGCATAACTACCTGTTCGACACATGTAGAAAGGGGCGTTGTCCTTGTATATTACCTGTGCTCGCATAACGTGTTCTATAAAACGTGGCTGCATGTACATCTACTAACACCTTCATAGACTATCAAATGAGCGCGTCGATACATGAAATGACTAACATGGGGCCCCCGAGAATAGTAGGTTATAATTTGTGTCTTCTGTTCATGGCAGTTCGGAGAAACTAACATTTTTTACTGTCCTCAAAACAGCTCTTTTGGTTTTGTTTGTTTGTTTTTTGGGGGGTGGGGGGTCTTGTTTCTTTTTATTTCCTTCAGTCTGCGGTCTCTGTTTGTCGGTGACTCCCTGGACATCCGCCTTTCTATGACCTATGCCTTTAGCTGTTAAACCTCGAACAAACAACAAACAAAACAAAACACGTTTCACTGAAGTTTAAGCTTGATACAACTGCAATGCAAACTATGTCAATTGAACAGCCGGAAGCCTCGGGAACGATACAAGAAAAAATGGTGCAAGTTCAAACGCATCCCATGTAATTCTATCTGACATTCCAAGCGGCATGAACTAAGAAGGGATTTTGAATATAAATATTCATTACGTGTTCACCGGGTCAAAGATCAAATAGGTCAAACAGGTCAAACAGAGTGTGTGTGTCTCCGAAGTAGACGGCCGTTGTAGTCCTTGGTGGTGATGAGGCGATCGATAAATATTCATTCACTTGCTGATCAGGTGAGAAATGTTATTGGGAAATGCAATCACATCACTCTCCATGGAACGTTTTTAGAGTATACGGCGCAAATGTAAATGTTATCAACATGTTTTTTTCAATGTTTCACAACCAATGTAATTGATTTATGTACAATATATGTTCGCTATGTCACTAAGACATCATTTATAATTATGCAATTTTATAGGTCAGTTATATGGATGTCTTTTATTCAATTGAACATGGAAGTGTTATTAAAATAGTTAAAGTGCATCTGCATCCATTTATATGACTAAAAACAAAATTTGTCAGATGTTTTTATTTACAAAGTATAACCTCTTTCGACTTATTAAAACGTGAATTTCGCATCGTTTTTTTTTCAGATTTTGTATGATTCACACGATGACGTCAAGAAATATTAGCTTGTCTAGTACCGTCCGACTAAACGATGGTGTAACAATGCCTATATTTGGACTTGGGATGAATAAGTTAAACTCTGGGAAAACTCACCAAGTAGACAGGGTGGTCGAGCTTGCCTTATCCATTGGATACCGATTATTAGACAATGCAGAGTACTATGAGTAAGTATTATACTGTAAAATTTGAAACTGTCCGCGTGTGGAAATGTTTGCATTGTGACTCTTCACTTAGTCGCAGTGTGGTAATATTCGCATTGAAAGATTATCTGAAATCTATACATTCTTGATACATGAATGTAAAAGCATTCAATAAACATTGTCGTGTTGATGCCTTCGCGCGTATTCACCCAACGTGAGAAAAAACACAAGCATGCCCACTAGTACATTATTATTTTATGCAAATAAAATACAACTAATGAAATGAACATAACCTACTCTACCTTAATGCACAATTAGGGTTGGTTTGTACTTTTCTTGAGAAATCGAGACAGAAAATGGACCTATTGCGTCATTAAGGCGCTCTACCGTCTATACTCACTAGCCCTCCACTACGTGGGGCAGTCGCCAGGTGCTAGTCGCAGGTCGTTGGTTTCCTCCACCATCAAAACCTGGTTCGTCTGTAATGACCGTAGCTGTTAATAGAGCGCAAAGCACAAACCAAACCAAATATACTAAAACTGAATATGAGTACATAACAGCCGAAGAATATATTCCGCTAATATGGGTGCTGATCTGTGTTAGGTTGGTATAAAATTATAATCAATGGATGAAAAAAGAATATCTAGGAGACAAAATTTTATTAAAGACTGTTTCAGATATCTTATTCGTTATTGGATGTGATCAAAACTGTCTGTATTGATGAGACCTTGGACATTTTGAGAAATCGAACGGCAGTTTAAACGTAATTTGTTATTATTATGCATTATATCGCTAATTGAACAATTGGTTTTCCGTTGATATCCAGAAACGAAACAGACGTTGGCCGGGCAATTCGCAGTAGTGGTATCAACAGAAGGGAACTTTTTGTTGTGACAAAGCTTTGGGAAAACGGCTACGACAGATGTAAACAGATTTTTAGCAGGGCCCTGAGGCAGTAAGTGTCAGAAATATATATTAATCCAGTGTCTGTCCTGACAAAACTGTCATTCTATCTATTTTCTATCATGATCATTTTTGGTTGATGGGTCGTTTAGAATATTTTGTGGTCATGTGTATTGATATTATGCTTTTGAGCCGTTGATCTTACCGTTATACCCTGTTTATTCGAATTATGTTGATTGGCGGTTAAGGCTATTGCATGACCCTATATGATCATATTACACTGATGGGTCGTTAAGACTACCGTGTGACCTTGTAAGACCATTGTGTTAATTAGCCATTAAAACTGCCGTGTGACCATGTATGATGATATGATATTGATGGGTCGTTAAGACTTGTAAAGACAATTGTGTGGTAATTAACCATTAAAACGACCAAGTGGTCCTGGTTGATCATATCAAATTGAGGGACCGTTCAGACTACCGTGTGAACCTGTATGATTATATTATGCTGATGGGACGTAAAGAGTATCTTGTGGCCCTGTATATTAATATTATGTTGACAGGCCGTTGAGAATTCCAGGTAGTCCTGTATAACTGTAATCATGTTCATAGGCCATTAAGAGTATCTTGTGGCCCTTTATGATCATGTTATGCTGGTGGGTCGGTAAGAATACCGTGAACTATTTTTTGTGGGGCCGTTAACACCATGAATAATATATACTGTGGACCGACTACTTAAGACCAGGCAGTTTATTTGCTGCCAATAGATGTTCGCCTTCTATACCGTAGTGAAAAGGTCTAAAAAGGTATACAGGTCAATTACGTCTTATGTAATATTTGGTATACTACTACATCGTTTATTGTGATATTACAGATTTCTGAGTTCTCTCAAATAAGGGCAATATATATTATTGTTTTCTTTGAATTCCCAGTGATCATTTTCTGGGACGGTTTTCATGGAAACAGCTAGCTAACAAATAAAGTATCTGCTTCAGCAAGAGCTTGTTACATAGGCATATTTTCCTTTAATTTTAATTTAACTTTTTTGGGCCCCGGTGTATTCGGATTTCCACCTCTTAATTTGTTCAAAATTGTCCTATTGTATAACATGCGGAAACACTAAGGTAACAGTTTGATCAAAAGTGGGTTTTTGGGGATACCAAAAGGGGTAGGGTAAATCAAAATTATAAATTGCTGTTTTCAAAAAGACCTTAAAACCCAAAATGGTATCCATTTCTGTTTTTGGAAATATGTGTAAATTAACAAGCACATATAAAAGATTGAAAAATGACAGAAATTCAATCGTCACTTAAAAATTGTTTATATAAAATGGAGGACTAAGTCAGGGGATTGCTTTAGGTAATTTTCAAATGAATTTTTTTTTCTTTCTCTCATTAATGTCCTTTCTTATTTATATTTTGAGTTGAAATTTACAACTTTACTCATTTAAGTACACTTGCATAAAATACATATCTACTATACACTTTCCGTTTGTTTTATAACTGAGTTATGGCTTTTAGACACATCTCAAACTTGGCTATTTCAAAATTCGCTCGGTCTTAAGTGAATTAAAAGGTGCAGGACACCCTTTATATGATATATAAGCATAATATATTAATAATTAACATTATATATTATATATTTCATATAATATTTGCTCAACACATGTGGATGAAGTGAGTTCAAGGCACTGATTTGTTTTTTTACTTATCAGAGTTAACTTACAAATCAAAAATGGCATTTGCCACCATAACTACTGACAAATGATTAATTTATTATATGAAGTTTGATTTTGCTGGTGATTTTAAGTCTCCTAGGATCAAAGAAAGTATCTGTTTTAATCGTGACAGTTAACCCATTTCATTGTTTTATCAATTGTTCTGCCTATTTCCAATAATAAGGCCTGATTGTACATAAAAGTCTTTTTGAATAAGCATGCAATTTGGCATAGACATTAGTTATATGATGATATTTAATTTGTGAAAATTTGTGCCTAACACTAAATTTTTCCTTACAATACTAGTCTATACGACTTAGTCTCTCTTGGCGTATTCAAAGCATGAACTCTCTGGCTTTTGGTCAGCCTAGCATGTCATACGCACCTCTGACTACTATAAACACTCTAATGAGCCTGTTTAATCTACATACCTTCATGTGACTAGTATTGTAAGGAAATATTTGGTGTTAGGAAAGAAGATGCACTTTAGTCCTTGTACTCCAAAACACAAGAAAAGTGTTTTTAAGTAAAAAGGCATTGTGGGATAAGTATGAAACTTTCACAAAAAGTTCAATCACCTGTTTGTGTGTTACGTTCATCTATTTAGTGATTATTTATGTTACAGGTTAGACCTTGAATACGTAGATTTGTATCTTATTCATAATCCCTCATCAACACCTGGTAAATGTGTCGAGACGTACAGGGCCATGCTGGAACTCCAACAGGAGGGACTGGTCAGGTATGGTCCTCTTTATTTCATTGTGTAAGGTTTGACATTGGAATACAGAGAATTGTTGTTGTCAATCTAAACGGGTTTTTTTATGGGCAATCCTCGATTTCTCCGATATAGTGAAAGTTGATTCCGCATGTCAAAATATGCAAAGATGTTGTATTATTTGGGGTATTTTTTGCTGCTATGTTTTAGAAATTGATTGGGAGTATATCCTGTTTTATCTTGTTAGAAATATTTGTACTTGTAATCGTGGTATCATACATATAATGCACACAAAATGTAACGGGTTTTTTGGTGGGTTTTTTCCCGTGCTGGGTATCTTGGATGGGTTAGAAACATATTTTTTGTGTTTGTACAAAAGCCTTTGCGTGAGTAAATAACACCACATATTTTTTAAATCATTTCCATACATCCTCGATACTCCAGGGGTTACGCTCATTGACGTTCTCTGCACCCCTGGAATATGTCATAGCAAAATTGAAGGCTCAGTCTGGACCATCTTGTGGATGAGACAAGAAGACCAGTTTGATCCTGTGATGTACAACAAAGAATCTCTCGGTCTCGTAACGATTAAGTTGGCTAGCTTTGATGTCGGGTGTCACTCCTCTGTAATCTTCAAAAACAGGTAGCTACTGGAGACCAGTCAAATAGCTAGCCGCGTGCCTTCAATTTTGTTATGTTGCAGAGAGCGAAAGTGAGCGTAACCCCTGGAGTACCGAGAATGTGACTTGGTGTAACTTTAAAAAACATATATTTCAACATACCATTTTACATGGTCTCTAGGATACAAATAATTTACGTCGAGGAGGTGTACAGATTATTTTGAAATTGCCTCTAGGATACAAAATAAAAAATCCAGGAGGTGCCAATTTTACCCGTCTATGTTATCTAATATTTCTAGGTCTGTGGGAGTATCCAATTTTGGCATTCAACATCTTGAAGGATTAAAAGAAGAGGGACTTCCAACCCCATCTGTCAATCAAATTCAACTCCACCCATGGCAACAGAATAAAGATATTGTTGACTACTGCAAGCAAAATAAAATCACGGTCATGGGTTACGCCCCTTTAACAAAAGGCACAAAACTGTCGGACAAGACACTGCAAGATATCGCTACAAGGTAATGAAATTCCATACTAAATTTACATGTACCCGGCCAAAAACACACAATGAAACACTCAGTACAGAAAGTTGTAACAAAAAGACAAAAACAGGGTCTTAATGGAGTACACTTTGTCAAGATGGTTATTGCTGTAGACATTTCAGTATACTATAACATTCGTTTTCAGAATAATATTTGTAGTTGTGTCTTCTTTGTAAGAGTTATTCATTGTGGTTTTTTGTTTTGTTTACTGGAAACAAAATATAATATACATATATCATATTTCTCAGTAATGTTAAATCCCTCAAACAATGTCTTGGATCTAAGTTTTTACGCTGACGGTAATTTGTCTGACACTTTTCTCCAGAAACAACGAGTGGGATACCAATACAAATTCAAAATAGTATTGAAGGATATGTGCAGATGTGCACTCTGCTGTTACATATCACGTTAATCCAACTGGCTTCAACGCCGATCGGAGATGTATATAATACATTATACATTTGTTGATTGACAAATCTTATTTGTTTCAAAGACATTTAAAAAATGATACAGGTATAATATAGATCTCAAATATTAGTATTGTTTGTTTGAAATACTTATTTTAAAATAAATGATTTGTTCCAATCATTTTTGCAATTTGTAAAATCATAAAGAATGTTATAGGCACGTTTGCCCTTATTTTGACACATATTTCGGAACACTTTATAAATGTTCAATCGTTTAACGTAATATTGTTGACACCTATATATAAACACAACAGATTGCATGGTGCAGTAAAGATTTTAACATTGATTAACCTTTTACATCTTCTTTCAACCTAGGTACCTCCTTAATACATATTTCTAAGTGTTTGTAATACGTAAACAATCTCACGAATGAAACTAAGATGAAGCAGTCCAAAGTTGTTTATGTATTTATATATATAAATGCATTTTCTTACTTTTTATTTATAATCACTGCTGAAACAATAGATTTCTCAGCTCGTTTTTTTATTATATATGCAATTCGTTACAGGCACAATAAATCCCCGGCACAGATTTTGATACGATGGAGTTTAGAACACGGTTTTATAACAATCCCAAAGTCCTCGGATCCAACTCGAATTAAAGAGAATGCTGATGTTTTCTCGTGGACTCTTAATCACAGGGATCTCCAGACGCTGGTAGGTGTTTAAATGTTTATAAGTTTATCTATTTTACAACAATTTATGAAACAAACTATTTCAGTTCATATTAATCACTTATGTTTGCCTGGATGTTAGTACGTGGGGACCTTAATGTGGAAGGACACCGGAGTACCCAGAGAAAACCCATGTTGGTCAGGTGACCCAATACCCCTGATCCCCGACCGTCTTGGTTTTATGCGAGTGCGTTATCCACTGCGCTACAAGTTGTGTCGTAGACAATAATTGAATGATAAAAATTCAATAGTCTTGCCTAGGAAATCATGTCATGTGACCTATTGTGACGTCATAAAATGATAATGAAATGACGTCAGACTTCTAGATTTGGACTATTATGATGTAACAACGAAGACAATAGATACTCTTGTAAATCCTTTATGCTTGCATCATAACCGTTTGGTATTTTGTTTTAAACCATCTACTCTCTCATTTCACGTAACCTGTTTGTTTTATATATACTTCATATTAGTTTGGAAATATCCCATTGTAATAAAATTGTGTTTGAAGTAAGCAGTTAATATTTTGTACTTTCAGAACGAAATGCCTGAATGGTCATGTACACCGTTTAATCCTACCATAACACCTTGGAGCGGCTGAAGTCAGGAAGGATCGTGACCCGTATTCATGAAACCGCATGTTCAAGCATGGATTCTGTGCTCAAACCAACTTTCTTGTAACTAACTTAAATCATGTAAAATAATCAAAAAGTCAAATGTAAACATCGAAAACATTATTCGGCAGAAAGGTTAAACAAGCCCCCTAAAATATGTTGCAGACACCTAAAATGTCAACCCCCCTGATAAGTCATGTTCAAAGACCTCAATTAAAAAATCGGAACTCAAAATGTTATTTGTATATATTGAACTTGTACATTGGCTATACAAAAAAATACATAGCCAGGTTAACATAGTCAAATATAAGGCATTAAGGCTGATGTCTTCATAAAAATAGCTTACTGGACTTATAGCATGTCAATCTCTTTTGCGATCCAACTAAGTGCCGAGAAATGACCCATAATTTAAAGTTTATTTATATACCTAGGTCATGCGGAGCTTTATTTCTCTTCTTTTAGCTGTTGAGAGGAATTCCGACCTCAGATAAAGGTAGATGTTGACATGCGAAACCACTAAAATCATAGTAAACCCCCTGGTAAAAAAATAGAAATTTATAAATAAGAAAACAAAGGCTAAGTAACCTTGATCGATAAATGAACTTTAGATGATGTGCCATTTGATAACATTCTGTGATTATATGAATGCGCTAGACATGTTATAAACACTGAAAATAAAAAGTACAATAATGTTTATACCAAGTCTAGCTCTTTTATAAAAAAATATTGAATGTTNAAATGATCTTCAAATAACATGTCATTTCGTAACATTCAGCTGGGTCGCTTAAGAGATTGACATGTTAAATATCTGGTAAGCAACTTTTAGCATTACATCAGCCTTAATGCCACATTTTGACTTCGTTAACCTGGTTATGTACTTTTTTAATAGCTCATGTACATGTTCAATATATTTAAATTACATATATATATTCCGACATTTGATAAGGGTATTTGAATATGACTTGCCAGGGGGTTGAAATATTGGGTGACTATTTTTTTTTTTAGGGGGCTTGTTGAACCTTAAGTGTCTTAAATTGTTTTTCCAAAATCATTGAAAAAGTAAGATTTTTTATGATTTATAACTGAAACAAGAAAAAAAATGAATACAAAATCCATACCTGAGCATGAGAACAGTTTCAGGAATACGGGACCTGTTCTTTAAAAAAAAATACAACAATTGGGTCTTACTTATCAAGCCATCTATTGAACCCGCTATCTAACAAGGATAAAGGAAACACTTTGGGCTGTTTCTTAACATGAGCGTCCCATAAGTCCACCAGCTTAATCTTATTGTCACTTTGAATGAATCTGACTGGACACTCAATGATCGAATGTAATTAAAAAATATTTAAACTCCTATTAAAGCCAAAAATGTTGATAGTTAGTGGGGTTTAAAAACAAGAATAACGCGAGAAAGTTGCTATTTTGTGTGAATTTGGATAACCATATATATTAAGTTTGTGCGTGTTCAAAATAGGACTTTTTTTTCAATTTGACATCAATTTAATTGATATGGTTTTTTTCCTATCGATTTTTTCACAGTCGACCAGAATGGTTTGCAAAGTTGTGACTCAAAATATGTTTGTTGAGTCAACAAAATGTAAACTTTGACCAAAAACTCACCGACTTTGCGTTATATTTCCATCATGAAAATTAGTTTCACAAAAAAAGGAGAAAATGTCTGTAAGACATGAATGTCCCCGTCCCAGTTTGATCACGGGACAGGACGGGACGGGACGGACATGGGCAACATAACTGTATTACTTAATATGCGAATTCGTCTTACAAAAATAGCTAGAGAGTCCAAACTCCATGCAGACTAAGTAAAAAGCTGACGGGGCAGACTCGAGAAGAACTCGAAGAAGGAAGAGCTCATGGAACTACCAAAACACTCCATTTTTAAGTGGTAGTTGGTACCTCCCCGTGGCACAAGATGAGCGACCGAGATGTCTTGACAGTATTCAAATTCAGAGATATCGATGACCACCTGAAACGCATAACCGAACTACGAAGAGATCGAGGCTCACGACACAGACAGGACCCTGATCTCATGAAATATTACCCAATAAAGCGCCCGATCAAGTGTTATAAGCGATTTCGATTGGAAGCAGACTGATCGAGAAGTGACATTCTATCTACTGACGCTGCTTTAGGGATCAAATCAGTCGCAGTTAAAGATACCCCTCAAACTCTCATCACTCTTTCCCTTCCCCCACCCTTACCCTATTGTTTTTTTAGTTAACAAATCAGCTCTTCAGGACAGAGATTTGATTGGTCTAGACGAAAAACGTGGATTCTGATTAAGCATAGTCCCTTGACCATCGACAACGAGAATGATGAAGCAAGTTCAGAGGCAAAGGCAACGAAGAAAAACCTTCTTGAATGTAACAAACATCAAGTATATTAACTCTATATTAAATAGGCCCATAATCAATATATAAGGTGCCCGCTTCAATTGTTCAAACACAAGGACCATATTCCACTAAGGAGCCAGCTATAGATCCGCTATATGTACCTAAAATATAACCTGTCAAAGCCCCTTGTTATGATTTAAAAAAAAAAAAAATATCATGGTAATTGTTTCGTTTTCTTTAATTCAATTTTAATTGATACATATGTTGTTATTAGAGACATTTTCTTCTGATATAGTTGTACACATTTTTCTTGTTATAAATGTATATAGGTCTCATGAAAAATAACGACAGCATGATCCAATATTGACACTGGATCCGAATATATGGGCAAAGAAGTAATAATGACAGCGCAGACAAAACAAATTGTCAAATTTTCAGGGCGATCTGTCCCTTTATCAAGACAGGAACACAATGTTTCTTGCCCATATTTCTTGTTATACAGATGTAAATTTCTGCTTCTAATGTGAGTATAATTTAAGAAAAAAAAGTTTGAAAACTGTTATGAAATAATAATTAAAAAAAATCTACAAAATGCCTTTGCATTTACCATTAGTATCCAAATACATGTATGCATGCATATGCAACTAACGTAATGTATCTGCAATTAATCGGGAACCGTCGGCACTTGTCTTCAACGGCCTATAGCTATCATACAGCTGACAATCTGCTCGGTCGGAGTTGTCGTTCTTTTCACAGCCGTAACCTGAAAGTAAGGAACGATAACTCTGGTTTGATAATCCACACTTGGGATTACGTTGTGGTGCTGACGTACAGCTGACAGACCTCAGCTATCAAGTGGGAGGCAACCACCTACTATACTTCTATCAGGTAAAGACTGCTTGTAGGGTATGGTTGCAAACTAAAGGCCAGGTTCACGAAGGCATTATGTAGTGATTGTAAAATATGTAGGGATAAGTTTAGATGTAAGGGTATTGATTGCGTAATGTTTACATGATATTAAAGGACTGCAGCGCACGTGGTAAAGTGAAAGTAGAACAGACGTTATGCGATCTGCTATTGTCGATGACACTGAATGGAGTTTTCAGACCGTTTCTATTTACAGTTGTTAACTTAGTCCACTTTATCTCGTTTAAAACACAGACATGATCTGACTTTAAGATTTACGATTTAGCAATCGGTTCTGGAACTTGTATAGTGATATTTAATAAATCACCCATCACATGACAAGAGACTCAGGTTAGTTTTAACTCTATAAAGGGGGATTTTTTTAATTGGTTGTAATGTAACAGGAGAGGGGAAAATGAACGGCCAGACCAGAGTTCGAACCTTGGACCCTTTGAACTTTAGAAGGATGCTTTACCAATTGAGCTACCTGGTTGCCGACAATGAAACCTGTCTTAAGTTTCACTTCATTCCTCCCTTCTTTTTGCCCTCGAAGACATCACCGTATTTACAACCCATGCAGGTTAGGGTATCAGACCCTTTAGCCAAACGTAAACCCCATGCTTGAAACAAGGGTTGGTCACTGGCACCACTGTAACAGGAGAGGGGAAATGCACGGCCAGGCCAGGGTACAAATCCAGGACCCTCCAAACTTAGACGGACGCTAGCTCTACCAATTGAGCTTATTACCAGCGGATTCCCGACAATTGACCAAGTCTAGTTCTGCTACAGTCACACTAGTGAGATTCAGGTGGATTGTGACACTGTTAGATGGGGGCAAGTTAGCCGTAGTTTCCTCTAGCCCAGGCACCAAACTTACATTTCGAGTTGAGAGATAGATGTCAGCTAGTGGTCTGTCAAATCGTCTAAGTCTGCTGTCAAAACCACGGGCTAGGAACAAGAAGGAGCAAGAGATTCAAAAGTTGTATATCACTCTGGAGGAAATTGAGGTGGGATTAAACATTTCCTCTGGTTAAAACTTATTTTTCAAAAAGTGTTGCCTTGCATCACGGAATCACAGAATATTTGAACACAAATGTGCTTGATACAATCATAAATGTTAAAAAAGATGCATGTCATTCCTATTCAAGTTCAAAACAGCAATGAAAACCCTTTTTGATCCTTTGTAGTGAATTATTTCTTATTATTCTGGAAAATTTGTCATTACCAGTATCTTCATGATCAAAGGGTTGTGGGTTCGAGTCACGTCACGTGTGTTGCATCCTTGAACATGTGGTTGGGTAGTGCTTGAATTGTTGAATGCTAGCTGTGAGCGCCGAAATGGCAGCATCGGCTGTATGCTCCCCAGGTAGTTGAGAAATATATTGGCTGGTTGCAAAGGTCCTATAACTACAGATAATAAGTTGTGAACCAGTTTGAGATGACCTACAAACTAGGTTTTGATAAAGCGGTAAGAACCTCAAATTATTATTATTATTTATAATTGAAATTTGATGTCATATGGTGACAGTTCCTCTTTATATAATAATCTAAGACTTAAATAATTTCCATTTGGAAAACATTGCCTTGTAATAAGACCTTGTAGGTATTGGTTTAAAACATTTTTGAGTGGTAGGTTTTTCTGGGGACTTTGTAACAGAAATGTCATCCTCGATACTCCAGGGGTAACACTCAATTTCGCTTTCTGCACCCCTGGAATATGTCATAGTAAAATTGAAGGCACACAACTTGCTTATTGATTGGTCTCGTGTAAAAAAAAACACCTCACACTTGTTAGGCTAATACCTGTCCTTTGAAGACTACAGAGGAGCGACATCCGTCTTATTACCGTTACATGACCAACATATTCTTTTGATATGCTTCAAAGGATCAAATTATAGTCTTGTCTCATTCACATAGTTGTGCACACTGAACCTTCGATTTTGCTATGACATGATTCCAGGGGTGCAGACAGCTAAAGTGAGCGTAACCCTGGAGTACCGAGGATGCAGAAATGTGTACAATGTACATAAATATTCTTACTTTGACACAGCCCTTTGAGGAATATATTTACAATTTAAATTTTGATTACATGATATTGTTAAATTCTTCTAGTTTCTAATTAAACTTTTTTGGTGTTTCAGTCTGACAGATATGAAGAAAGCCATGCCCACTATAGCCACAGCCTTGACCAGTACGGTCAAGCTGAACGACGGAGTGACCATGCCATTATTTGGCCTAGGCATGTACTTGTCAGCATCGGGACAGGGTGGTCAAGCAGAGCGAGCAGCCATCCATGCACTATCTAAGGGATATAGACTACTGGACACTGCAGAGTTCTATGGGTAAGTATTGATAATAAACTTGTTTTATATTAAAACAATTATATATTGAATCTAGCTCTATCAACTTATAGTAGGGTGGTCAGTGGTTGGGTGGTGCAGTGGATAGCGCACTTGCCTATCATCAAGGTAGCCGAAGTTCATTTCCATGATCAGACGTGAAGAGGTATGGGGTCACCGGGCCAACCAGGTGGGTTTTCTCTGGGTACTCCGGCTTCCTCTCACATGAAGACCCCCCGCACACTAACACTCAGGCCAACAAGAGCGATTTATATAAGTTGAAATAATTGTTGTAAAATGAATAAAGCCTATATAACTTATATTAATCACCGGGTTGTGTCATCCTGGTAAAATACCGACTCGGCTAGGGAGAATTTCACTTTAGCTCAATCGGTAGAGGTCTTGGGTTCGACTCCTAGCGGAGGCATTGAAAAAATAATGACCTATGGTTACAGTTGTAAAAACCAAAGCAAGTTGAATATCTAAATCAGGGATAATTGTGAGTAAAGTCATACACAAACTACAACATACATGTAAGGTAAAAATTGTTGGTATATGCATAAAAAAAGCAGTATCACATATTCGAACTATTAAATAGAATCTCTGTGACAGAGAAATACCTAATCCAAGGGGTGATTGATTTGGTTGTCCAACTGGAGGCTCTACCAAATAACCTTTGGTAGAGCCTCCAGTTGGACAACCAAATAATCACCCTGAGGGTTGGAGATTTCTCTGTCACTCCCTCAAGGAAGAGGATGATGATTTTTCTCCAATCTAAATATTTCAGTTACAACTCAAACAACAATAGTCATATTTGTAAACAAAAGCATATTTGGTCTATGAATATTTGCCATTCACCTTTTTATGACGTCACAAAGCCATGGCATTCACTTTTTTATGACGTCACAGTTTAGCGCATGCTATTCTGCACTAGGCTGTCGATCCCAACGTGGTGACAAGCTGATCTGTCACGGCTAAAATAGGAGATATACCAATGCAGGGTTTGAGAACACATTATGCTCGAGTAAAATGTATATGCATAAAATTTTGTCAGTAGTGGTTTTCTGATGACATGTAAGTGAAAATAATGCTTCAGATTGCCTACATGTGATTTACATCCCAGCTCTACCATTACAACGCACACATCCATATGATAAAATTGTGATTTCTATGATGTTAGATAAAAACACATGTCTGGTATTATTTATACTGTATACATGATCATGTTGAACAGCCATTTATTGTTTAATCTCCAGAAATGAAGCAGATGTTGGAAGAGGAATACAGAATGGAGGTTTGAAGCGAGAGGATTTGTTTGTAGTTACAAAACTCTGGGAAAATGGCTACAGTCGATGTAAGAAAATATTCAACAAAAGCCTGAAAATGTAAGTACATGTGACATCGCAGGGAAGTAAGGTTGGTTATATGAGCCTACATGTTACTCTGTAAAAATATATATGGGCAAGGAAGTCATTCTTACAGTGTAGACAATATGATGTTGTCAAAATTTCGGAGCAATCCGCTCCTTTATCAATACAAAGGAAAAAAACACAAAACAGTTACATTACATAAAAACAATATTTGAAATATAATAGGATATAACTAAAATATTTTGAAAACAATAAGCCCCTTGGCTAGTGTTAGCCTAAGGCAGAATTTACACTGACTGATCATTGACCACTGATACCGTGTGTGTGCGAACAACGACAAAGAGATCAAATATACCTGGAAAACTGAAGTGTGAAGATGCTGAAGCTGGAAAAATTACGATTTGTCCGAAGATGATAATTGGGATATGGCGTAGAAATTCCAGAAATCATCTCTGTCAATATATATATTATACAGAGATATATATCCCCTGGTATAAGCCCACTAACGATTACAAAATTTGTGAAAATATTTGTCCTATTTATTTAAAAAAAAAATGTCCTTAATCATACCAGAAGACACAACACAGCATATGGTTTACACAAAAATGTATAACTTACAGTGTTTTTTCAGCTGTTTTAGAGGAACAATCATGTTACCAACTTGTTTTAGGAATATTTTTTTCCCAAAATAGACTTGGAAGTAGAAAAATATCTGGAAATTACCAACAGTAGCTGGCTAGGCATAATTGACACTGCACCTTCAAACTATCAACATTTCCAGTCTCTGTGTTCTTAAAAATCCCACGTTTTTTTCTTAATTAAAGTTTTCTCCAAAACACCAAGAAAAAATGCACAGATTTATGTAAATTTATCAGTGTAATGAGTAAAGCTGATGCTTTTGGATAATGCCAATTGAAACATCAAAGGGAGGTTATTCTTAAAGGTTTATATAAAGGATATACTGTAGATCAACCTGTTCCATTGTAGATATCCTCATGTAAAATTACATTCACACTTGTATCATGCTTTGCAACTATTTTTCGTAGCTTAAATACATGGTATGAAACATGTACTAAATATTATTGACAAATGAGTTTATGGAATAAGAGTTATCTACAGTAACATATATATATATATAGTTTTAATACTCCAGGTTGGATATAGGCTATGTGGACCTGTACCTCATACATAATCCGTCCTCCGCTCCAGGCAAGTGTGTCGAGACGTACAAAGCCATGCTGGAACTCCAACAGGAGGGACTGGTCAGGTAATCTGGACATGCTGCCCTACTCTATGTACAGCTATATTTATTGGTAGGGGAGATAACTACATTCTTATAAACTCATTTTGTAGTTTTGCTTTTCTGAATTTAATCCAATTTTCTCATTTTTTCCTAGAGTCTTTTTAGGAAGCTCCACACTCTGGTTTATAATATTATAAATTCAGTTCTGGTACAGTTTCATTTCTGATCCTCTATACCAGCCTCCCAATAGTACATATACATATACTCGATATTGATGAATTTCAGATTCATAATTATACCAAAGTTCACAGCGATTATCTAATCTATTCTTAAAAGTGTCTATGTTCGGTGCTGCATGTTCCTACACTCTCTGTTAGGTTTTTTATGTTTGGTGCCGTTACTTTGATCTCGGGTAGGTTGTTTATGTTTGGTGCCGTAACTACGCTCTCGGGTAGGTTGTTTATGTTTGGTGCCGTTACTACGATCTCAGGTAGGTTGATTATGTTTGGTGCCATTACTAGGATCTCTGGTAGGTTGTTCCATATATGAATTACTCGCAGGAAGAAAAAGTTTTGGGGCTGTTCCTTGCCCATTGTCGAAATCTTTTTAGCATTAATAGACTGTTTTGAAAATACTAATATTTTGACACAATGTGACGTTCCTCAGGAGTATACAAACACTTGTCTTAAATAGATAGTAATGTTATTCGTCCACCTCGGACAGGTTATATTCTGGTATTGCTTTTGTCCCTTCTGTCTATCTGTCCATTAAAGTTCCATTTCAATGCGAATATTCCTTAATAAGATCAAATTACAAGAAATTTGGACAGCAGCTACAAGTTTAGGAATGTAGTAGGACTCGACTGGGTCGATTGTGGGTGACCAGGTAGCTAAATTTAGCTGATTTAGCAGAAGAAAGAAAATTATGTATGACTTGTGAAATTCTGCTTGGATAATCATTGGGTAAAATTTCAATGTGTAAAATCTAATGAATATTCATTGATAAAAATCCTGTTGAATATTCAGTGAGAGAATTCTGTTGATTATTCATTAAGTAATATATATTCACATGAAGATTCATTGAATAAAATTATGTTAATATTCATTTTATATCAATTCTTTTGAAATAATCATAGATCTAGAGTTATTACCGAAAATTCAGTCCATGAGACTTCCAGATTTGATAAGCAGTAGTTACAGTGATGTATACAGTTTTAGCCACTAAAAATGAAAACTCCTACAAACATCAGTCTTCATTTCTTTGATATCTCTATAAAGGAACACTGTCATAATAAAAATGTTTTATTCCAGTCATAGGTACCAGTCATATCATTATCTTGATATTCTTCAGATCTGTGGGCGTGTCCAACTTTGGGGTACAGCATCTCGAAGGCTTGAGAGAGGCAGGGCTTCCAACACCATCTGTCAATCAAATTGAGCTCCACCCCTGGCAACAGAAGACTGACATTGTTGAGTACTGCAGAAAAAATGGGATCACTGTCATGGGCTACTCCCCATTAACCAAAGGACAAAAGCTCTCCGATAAAACTTTATTAGAAATCGCCAAAAGGTATTTCCCTTTCCCAGTGGTAATTAATTTTGGAAAATACTGTATTGCTGAAATTTCTTGCAAGACTATTTTCAACTATGATTGAATCGTATTACAAGCATCTTAACTTTGCGATATTTTACAGTAACTGAACCTTAAATTTGTCTACAGTAATTAGTTGTAAATATCAATGGTTATGTCTTCTCTACCATCCTCCTCACCCCGTACACTTAAATTTCACGCTATTTAATCATTTTCCCGAGGATAGGTAGGAGTTTTGTATATTATTATGCTACTTAAGGTAGAAAGACTTACAGATATGCATTTCTCAATCAGCATAAATGTAACAAATATTATATACATGTACTGTTTTCTGTGAATGACAATCTTTGAACTGCTCTATGCTATATTGAATATTTGTAAGGTTGTCATATATATATATGGCAGGTTTTAATTGTACAAAGGATTACAGTTGCCTTCTAGCTTCGCACTGGAGGGAATTATCCCTGGTGGAAGCACACTACTCTTTTTCCCGTTACATATAGATATATATTTTTTATATGGTAATATAAACATTTTATCTTCAAACTGGCTCATAGTCAACACAATGCAGAGTTTAAATATATCTAAATTACAGACACAACAAATCACCCGCCCAGATTTTGATACGGTGGTCCGTTGAGAGAGGCTTTATAACGATACCCAAGTCAGCAGATCCAGGACGGATAGAACAGAATGCGGACGTTTTCTCCTGGAGCTTAGATCCCAGTGATCTCCAAATATTGGTATGTAATTAATACTAGATAACCTGATATGTCAGATACCATTGATTCTTAGAACAGCCTAATGTCACCAACATGTTTGCTTCAAACGGTTGTCTCATGTTAATCAAGGCGGAAGAAGAAACTTCAAACTGATGCTGGTCTAATTGCATTCATAGCCCTATGAACACGATTTATAACTCTTGTCCAGTCAAACAGCAATCAAAATACAAAATGAAATTAAGGGGAGATAACTATGTATGAAAAACAAAAGTGGAATTCTCTTATGTTACATTAACTTCATTTGGATAGGCATCCTTAATGATTGTTGGATTTAAGAGACTCATAAGTATCGTTAAATGGAAAAAGATTTGAAAAATAGAAAATCACAAAAAAATGTATTGTTAAAATTTTAGAAGCAATGACTTGAAAACAATATATTCCCAGGATTTTTTTTATCTTTTGTTTCAGAATGATATGCCTGACTGCTCCTGTACATGGAATCCCTGTAAAACTCCCTGGATGGGCTGATTTTAGTGAATATCACAAATAAATTACAAAGTTTGTAAGAAATCACGAGTTAACATTTTAAGTTAAAGGGTACCACTACATCAGTTATATATGCAAAGAAGAGTTCCACTCTGACTTTTTTACTTGGAGAAATCTCCCTTTATCTAGATAAAAGATGAAGCAACCAAATAGAGCTTTTCTGACTTAGAGTAACTTCCCCTGTCATGTTACTTGGATTTTCATTTTAGTGCTCTTTGATTTCAATTATATATCCTGGATTCCTGGTAAAGTGGAGGCTTGTAAAGGCCCTGATTCCAATGTCCTGCTTGGTGGGTTTTTTCATATTAATATTTTCAAAAAGTCTTCTTTCAAACAACTTTAATCATGTAAAATACTTCATAACATGTACTTTCAATAGAAAAGTTCTTTTGAAAACTTAACCAAATGTATAAAAATAGTGTCAGTGGTGTTTTGTTGTTATGATATAGTTTCACTTATTGGTACTAGCGGTCGTACCCTTTATCTTAAATCATATATCATGTATAAAATTTCAAATTTATTTAAATCAATTGCAATCAAGAAAATACTTTGTTGAGAATAAAAGTTATGACACAATGCATGTTAGGGTTTAAAAAATTATTATCGAAGAAAATGTCAATCATACCAATAGTACCTGACGTTTGATGACTTAGTTATTTTGTACAACATAAGTATTTTAGTACATGTGTATTATTATTGATTACCTTTGTAATAATCTAAATGTATGTATACATAACCAAAGGCATTTATAATTATCTTATATTATTGTCAAATCTATCATGAAGACCACCAAAGTAGAGAGCAAAAACGGTCTTGGTTTTGTGTGCTTTGGTTTACTGGTTTTACGTCTTCCTTCACTGAGGATGGCCTGTGTTCGGCCGACATGAGAGTATAAATTGCCACTTACCATACAGACCCTCTTAAGATTCAAACCTATAGGCCCGTCCAGATCACGCCCAAAGGTCAGACTGCTCCTCAGATGTGGATAGGCTGTCACAGCGGCTGTCGTCCACAGATCCATGTCTATGTGTGGTCCCTGGGGTCCCTGGGGTCCCCGGGGTCTCTTATGACAACAAGGTCTTAATACTCAGGTTATCTTGTAAAGAAAAGTTGTAATATAAAGACAATATCATATGAGACATACTAAGAATTGTATTTATAAATAGAAAGGTTGTCTGATATATGGAAATCACCATTTTAGGATTCTTTGAACCGTGGTTATCGGCAGGTGATCTTTTCACACAGATATTTTAGAGTTAACAACTGTAACCAAGCGTCCTGAGGGTATAGATGAATCAGTATGTGTCCCCTATCGGTGTCCCCAACAGATACAGTAAACCAGATATTGCAAATGGAAATGGTTTCAAAAGTGTTTTGAAATACATTTTGGACAAATCCAATGCCCTTGCTTTCCCAATTTAGTTTAAATATGAAAAAAGGGTAAATAAATACAGTATATATTGGTGAGCCATCATTATGTGGTGCCTATCAGCATGATAACTTACAAATCATTGATCATATACAAAGTTCAAGCTTGGTGTGTGATTTGTTCTTGCAAATGCAAATAAACCTATTGACTTTGGGCAACTTGTCCACTGCTCATGTATGTAGGTTTACAGTACACAACTAAAACACTAATCACAGGTCAGCAAGGGCCCCGCCATGTGCCCGACTGTACCCCACTCCTAGTCTATATTTAGTAACAGTAACATTGACCTTAACCTTAGAAACTGTTTTAACCCCTATATTGCCTATCTATATATATATCCCAGTGTATCACCATGCCAAATTGCAGGAAGAGTAGTCTTTTGGATTAAGAGATAATCTAGGACAGACAGACGGATACTTTGATTACAATAGAGAACCCCCATCTCTGATGCGGGGCCCTATTATTACCTCACAACACACTTTATCCACCAATTTAGAGGAAAAGAATCATGCAATGCTTAATTTAAGACACATTTTTTAAGAGAGATCAGATGGCAGGGATATTTAAATACTCATCTGTTCCTGTTGTTTTATTTAGAACCTTAATATTAAATCTTCTATGCTTATTTGTGGTGTTTAAATGGAATCCATTGAGAATGTGTCTTTTGGAGAAAAATGTGATTGTTTGTATCAGATGGTCTATTGTATTGTAATGAATACGCTGATAATTTTTTGTCTCGTCGCCACGAAATAGCGGAAGCGGGACTAAGGTGTTGCTTTTCCAGCGGCGGCGTCAACATCAAGATTTTACGTTTAAGTTAGTTTCACTGAAAGTATAAATGCTAGACCAACCAAACTTGGACCAAAGATGCATTTTAGGGAGTACATCTCAACCCATGCATCAAATGCTGGATGTGGCCTACCTTTCATGGTCCATTGACTTTGTCAGCATCTCTATCAACTTTAAGTTTTTGTGTTGAAATTAGTTTCTCTGAAACTATAAGTACTAGACCAACCAAACTTGACATGTGCATTGATGGTCAAAGCGCGGCACTGGCGACACATATCAATTTGAATGGCATGTTAATTGTTTATAGGCCCATCGATATCCTCGAGGTTTGTAACTGCAGTTTCGGCTGTATTAAATCCGGCTGGCACAACTGCCTTCTCAGGATTACTTGAAGCAAAATATCAGTTAAGGATGCCCGTATCAGCCTTTTAACAAAACTGCAAAAACTGTAGCTATGCCTTGGAAACATATTCCCTGTATGACTATTGCTTTGATAAATAATTTCTTAAAAAACAACGCTTTGTGAAAGTTAAGTATGAGTGTAAAAATGCAACATCTGGGCCAGACCAGGGTTTGGAAAATAACAATGGACCTCAGGTCATTATACTAGATGTCGCTCTCACCAAATGAGCTACCTGATCAACGGTAGTACCCTGCATGGTGTAACGGTCATATCCAAAACAGCATTAAGGGGAGATAAATGTATGTACGAAAACTAGCAGCGGAATAATTAGAGTTTGCCTGCGATGTGACAAGAAAACCTAAACTACAGTTTTATATGAAATATCAAAAGAAAATTTTGTCATTAAAATGTTGGAAACATCCATGTGTTGTTATATCATGTTTACTCTGTTGAAAGGAGTTGATCAACTCTGAAAGACCAAGTTGAGCTTATAATATGCCACACGTGGTGTCCATCATGCATTATGTGTCGGTCAATAATTTCTTTTTAAGCAACTTCTCTGAAATTAGGAGTTGAGATACGCATCCTAGAACCATACATACAATAGCAGAGTATAAAGAGAGGGATACATGTCTGTTGCCAGGATAGCCCTGGGGACCGGTACCATCCTGGAGGACTTAGTCCATCAGTCATAACTTTGAAAGGGTTGCAATCCCAACCGCATAATCATATACATACAATTGCTTGGTATAAAAAGATGAACAAAATTGACTCTAGGGTCTGGTGACAGCCCTGCACATTTAGTACAATTGCTTGGCCTAAAGAGATGAACACATTCATACTACCATAATTGGCTTTGGGGTCTGCCCCACCCTTAGGGACTTAGTCTCTGAGTCATAACATGGACATATTCAGCTCCTCAAGGCCATCTTAAATCTGGTTAGTTGTTGTCAATTTTATATGAAATTCTATCATTTAATTTATACGACATATATTACATTATATTAAATTAGATTTTGAATTTTTTTTAACTAGGGAGTCTCATATCACAATTAGTATTGTGCTACCAATTTAATTACAAGGTTGAATGCTGGTCGTGATAGTATCATAAAGTATCGATGACAACAAGATATAGGACAGTCTCACAAGTCGAAGACTTACAACTACTGGAAGAACAGTGCAAACAGATAGCAAGGCATGTTTAGCTGACCTATTGTGAGAATTGGGGGGGGGGGGGGATGCCAATGTAGATACCCAAGTGTCAGCATCCGCATCCAACTTCAGACTGTAATATGGTCGAGGCATTTAATCTTGGTCTGACTCTTGACTTTAGGGATATGCTGTAATATAAAGTAACACCTGACTTTACTGACACCTAACTTTAAGGACATCCTGTAATATAAAGTAACACCTGACTTTAAGGATATCCTGTAATATACGGGGTAACCTGACTTTACTGACACCTGACTTAAAAGACATCCTGTAATATACAGTAAAACCTGACTTTACTGACACTTGACTTTAAGGACATTATATAACATACAGTAAAACCTGATTTTGCTGACACCTGATTTAAAGGACACGGTGAACAATACAGTTAAACCTGACTTTCAGGGCATCGTGTACTATATGATAAGGCATGTTACCCAATTTTAAAGACATTCTGTAACATACAGTAAAACCTGATTTTATAAGGACATCCAGTAATATACAGTAAAACCTGATTTTAATGACACCTGCTTTTGAAGATATCCTGTAATATCTAGTTTAACCTTAATTTACAAACACCTGACTTTAAGGACATCCTGAAACATACAATAAAACCTGATTTTACTGACACCTGATTTAAAGGACATTGTGAACAATACAGTTAAACCTGACTTTGCTGACAACTGACTTTCAGGACATCGTGTACTTTATGATAAAGCCTGACTTCACTGTTACCTGATTTTAAAGAAAGTCTGAAATATACAGTGAAACCTGACTTTGACATCTGTTCTAATGTGATCCTGATTCTGACATCTGTTCTAATGTGATCCTGATTCTGACATCCGTTCTAATGTAATCCTGATTGAGACATCCTATAATTTACATTTAAACCTTTCTTTACTGACACCTGACTTTAGGACATCCTGTAATATACAGTAAAACTTCACTTTACTGACAACTGATTTAAAAGACATCCTGTAATATACAGCAAAACCTGACTTTACTGACACCTGCTTTTGAAGACATCCTGTAATATATATAGTAAAACCTTACTTTACTGACCCCTGACTTTAAGGACATCCTGTAACATACAATAAAACCTGATTTAAAGGACATTGTGTTGGGTAAGTTCCCAACAAAGATTGAGAACGAAAATGACCTTGGCCTTCTTTCAAGGTCACAAGGGTAAAAAGTGTCATTTACTTAAAACGACTTCTTTTGAAGAACTGAAAAGTATCGAAACTTAGTATGTGGCTGGTAGCTTCATTGGTAAGAGCCCAACAAAGTTTGAGAACGAAAATACCATTGACCTACTTTCAAGGTCACAGGGGTAAAAAGTGTCAAATACTTAAAATGATTTCTTTTGAAGAACGAAAAGGTATAGAATCTTTATATTTGGCTGGTAGCGTTTTTGGATAGAGCCCCACACAGTTTGAAAATGAAAATTACCTTGACCTACTATCAAGGTCACTGGGGTTAAATTCTTTAAACAACTTCGTCTGAAGAACAGAAAGGTACAGAATCTTAATATTTGGCTGGTGGCTTCTTCGGATGGAGCCCGACAATTTTGAAAATTAAAAATGACCTTGACCTACTATCAAGGTCACAGGGGTCAAATATGTCAAACACTTCAAACGACTTCTTCTGAAGAACTGAAAGGAATAGAATTTTAATATTTGCGAATGAAAATACCTTGACCCACTTTCAAGCTCACGGGAGTCAAATATATCAAACTTATGTGACAACGTTTTCTGAATAATAAAAATGCATATAATCATATTATTTGGCTGATTGCTTCTTGGATTGAGCTTGACAATGTTTGCGAATGAAAATGACCTCAACCTACTTTCTAGGTCACAGGGGCCAAATATGTGAAAACATTTCAAATGACTTCTTCTGAATAATCTAATGGCATAGAATTGTAATATTTGGATGGTAACTATCGCAGATATAGCCCGAAAAAGTTTGCTATTGAAAATTACCCTAACCTACTTCGGTCAAGGTCACAGTTGTCAAATATAGCAAAAACTGCAAACAGCTTCTTTAGAAGAAGTGAAAGGCATTGAGTCGTTATATTTAACAAGTAGCTTCCTTAGATGAAGATCAACAAAGTTCGCGAATGACAATGACCTTTACCTACTTTATCCTATAGCTTTATCTTCATCTAATTTGATATAGAGTAGCATTGGCCCAACATAATTCAATGTTGTAGAAACCATGCCCTATCCAAATGGGGACAAGAGAATGTGACTCAATAAGGAAAGGTGTTAATGAGAGACAGAGCCAATATTTGGAAATATTTGTAGACAGTATATTTATTTGATATTTTGCTATGACTGCTTAAATATCCAGGTGAGCGATAAGGCCCTCCGGGCCTATGTAAAGTTTGTTAGCGCTATTTCTTCGAAATAGCTGCAGGGATCTTTCTTAAATGTCACATGAAGGTTTCCCATGGTATGTTTTTATGCATATCAAATTATTTTGGGATAGGCGCCATTTTGAATTTTCAGAGTTAAAGTTAGTTAGCGCTATTTCTCAATTATTACGTTATGGATCTTTCTCATATTTAAGATAAAGGCTCCCCGTGGCCCGTTTTTATGCATAATAAATTTTGGGACTGATCGAAAAACTAAAATGGTCGTCAGGGGCCATCTTGAATTTAAGAGTAAAATATTTTGGCGCTATTTCTCAGAACAGAAACTATTGAAGGGATCGTTCTCAAATTTGATATGCATGTTCGCCTTGGTATGTGGTTGTGCATGTTTACTTTCAAGACAAATTGGATAAACGAAATTGCCGACAGGCAGCCATCTTGGATTTTAAGATTTAAAGATTTTTAGCGCTATTTCTCAGAAATTACTTCAGGGATCTTTCTCAAATTTAGTATGTACCCGGCTTCCCTTGGTCAGTAGCTGTGCATGTTTACTTTTGAGACTGATTGAATAAGCAAAATAGCCGACAGATGGCCAGCTTGGCTTTTGACAGTGAAGGCTATTTCTTTCAAGAAAGTACTGAAGTTATCTTTCTCAAATGTGATTTGTAGGTTTCCCTTGGTCTCTAGTTAGCTCAACTGGCCTGAAGGGCAAGTTAGCTTATGCCGTGGCGCGGAGTCCGTTGTCTGTCCCTCTCTCGAGTGGCGTTAATATTTTACTTTAAACAACTTCTTCTTAATAACAAAAACGCTTAGGGTAATGATATCTGGCCAGAAGCATGCATGGATGAAGGGCTACCAAGTTTGTTCAAATAAATGACTTTCACCCATATTCAAGGTCACAGGGGTCATATATGTTAAAAACTTTTAAAAAACTGCTATGAATAACCAAAATGCCCAGGGTGATGATATTTGCCCAGTAGCAACCTGGGATGAAGGGCTATTAAGTTTTTCAAATGAATGACCTTCACTCATATTCAAGGTCAAAGGGGTCGATTGACTTAAAAAGCCTTTCAACAACTTCTTCTGAATAATCAAAAGAACCATGCAGGATGGTAATATTTGGGCAGTAGCATGCTGGGATGAAGGGCTACCACGTTTGCTCAAATGAATGACCTTCACTCATACTCAATGTAACAGGGGTCAATTTCTCAAAAATACCTTTAAACAACTTCTTCTGAATAACCACAAGATCCAGGATGATGATATATGGCAAGTAACATACTAGAATAACAAGGTAGCTCAATTGGTTAGAGCGATAGTTTAGCCACAGGCGCTTGTATATGGTATTTAATACCTCAGCTAAATTCCAAAATCCACTATTTACATATATATATATCAGTAGTGGATTTTGGATATTAGCTCAGGTATGAAATACCAGATACAAGCGCCTGTGGTTTAGCAGTGTGAACTTCTAGTTATGTGTCTTGCCAAGGTGTGTCTTTTTTTCGCTCAGAACTCTGGTGATAATTATTTCTTATATACCAGTATTTAATGTCTATTGGTTCTCATAAGTGTCCCACAAGGTATGATTTTCTTTTCAGAAATGATTTATCAAAGCTAATGTCATGTGGAAAAACAATTTCAGATACCTAGTTACAGTTGTTGGCAGTGGTACAGGGATCCTTATATACATATATGACAATACAGGTAAAGGGACTTTAAGTCTGTTTACATACAAATCTGTCAATACATTGAGTACATTGTAAATGTAGTGTATTTACTGTGACAGTGTAATACACTTATAAATGTAGTATATTTACTGTGACAGTGT